ATGATTTTATACTGGGCTTTCCACTGAACCACCTTAAATAACAAACTCTGCTCCAGCCTATGAAATAACTCAAGTTTAGGGCACTGCATTTAGGAACTGGGCAACCCAGCTGGTCTCTGTCACTGCCACCTTCATGGCTCTGGGTAAGTCACTTGCCTCTGGGCTTATGCCCGCATCTATAAAATAAATTTGGACTAAATGATCACTCTTCAAGATTCAATGTTTTGTGATTTGATAATTAAGACTTCTCATGTGTATCCTTGGCCTCCAGTCTCATGTGTAAAATGAACTAAACCCACGTGACTGGGTACCTGCCTTCCCTGCCCTGGGCCAGGTTTCCTGACAGCCATTTGCTCTTCCAGACAGTATGTGATGTTACCTGAGGCACTGAGTCATACTCTTCTCATTTGCTTAATTGCTAATGGAACCGGTGGTGATTTTTCCACCCAAGAGTTTCTATTTTTTAGAGTCAACTGGAAGCAACACCATTTCAAGAGCTCAAAACCCTAGCAACTGTTCCCTCTCCAAACCTGGGCGGATGTTTGGCAAGGGTAGAGCCATAGGATGTGGCTGTGGATGGATTTAGGGGATGGGGCTTTTCTTGGTACCAGCCTTGGAGAACTGCCCCCTGCACCCATCCCTCGTCTCCTACAGGAGAGCCAGCACAGGTAGCCCCTGGCAGGGCCCTCAGCATCATCCCGAAGCCAGAGATGGAGGCAGGTGCCTACCTGGGAGGAGGTGGGAAGAAGCCAGACTTAGGACTGGAAGTCAGATGTTGCCATAGAAAGTATTCTAGTAGTGGCTTGTCCTCAACCGGGTGAAGTATCTTCTCAAGGCAGACAAGGCTGGAGCCTGGCTTCCCATCCCAGTTTCCCAACGTTCTCCCTTGGTATCTCAGGACAAGTGGCTGATGGCAGAAATCCTGTTTTAGAAACACGGGGATTCAAGCCAGGAGCAAGCAAGGAGAAGCCTGGTTTTCCCACCAAAAACAAACCAACCCTCTTTGCGGTCTCTTTGCCCTCAAGGGTCAGGTGAATTGAGCTGTCGACCAGAAGAGGGTGCCCTGAAGCTCTCTCTCCAGCTGAGAAGGAAAAGAGGGTTGAGGCAGAGGTTGCCACTCCAGTTGTGAGATAGGTATTGGTGGCTTTGTATTAAAAAGTAACAGGCAATCCCTCACCCACACGAGGCCCTGGGATTCTAGGTGAAAAAAGAGAAACCTAGGCTGCCTAGCATCTACTTCATCCTGATGTGAGAGGTAACAGTAATGATGATAATGACCCTGGTCATCGTGTTGTAAGTCTTGGCTCTGTGCTGAGCCCAGAAGATGCAGACTCAGATAAGTGACTTGTCCTAGGTCTCGCAGCTTATAAGAGGCAGAGGGGGAACTTTGAAGATGGTACTGCTCAAATCTATGACAATCCTAGACAGCATATTAAAAAGCAGAGACATCACTTTGCCAACAAAGTTCTATATAGTCAAAGCTATAGTTTTTTCTGTAGTCAGGTATGGATGTGACAGTTGGACCATAACAAGGGCTGAGGGCTAAAGAACTGCAGCTTTTGAATTATGGTGTTGATGACTCTTGAGAGTCCCTTGGACTGCAAGGAGATCAAACCAGTCCATCCTAAAGGAAATCAGCCCTGAATATTCATTGGAAGGACTGATGCTGAAGTTGAAGCTCCAATCCCTTGGCCATCTAATGCAAAGAGCCAGCTCATTGGAAAAGACCCTGATGCTGGGAAAGATTGAGGGCAAGAAGAGAAGGGGGTGACAGAGGATAAGATTGTTGGGTAGCATCACTGACTCAATGGAAATGAATTTGAACAAACTCTGGGAGACTGCAAAGGACAGGGAAGCCTGGCGTGCTGCAGTCCAAGGGGTTGCAAAGAATCAGACATGACTTAGCAACTGAGCAACAACACTGCTCTAACCCTAAAGTCCAGGCTGTGGGTTAGAGCCAGTGACCAGAGTCTTTATTGGAAAGGTAACAGATGCATAGGCAGTCATTTAAAAATGCTATCTGAAACCACGAACTCAGACAATTGCCATGCTGGAAGGAACTGGAAAGATTCTCTTCCCTAAGAAAACTTGGGAGCACCTGCCTGAGGGGGGTGGGACATTATCCAAAGGACAAGTGCAAGTTGGAGTGGAAGGGAACTCAAGTAAGCACCTCGGGCACCACCTCAGCTTTGTAGAGAAAGGGCTGGGTTGGGGTCAGATGTTGCCAGGGGTCAGGTACAGGGGTCCCCTAGTCAAGCGAAGAAACTGAGACAGAGGCAGGCAAAGTGGAAGCATCTGAGGTCTCTACTGTGACCAACATAGCATTGCTGGGACTGCACTTTCATCAGGCAAGTGAAATTTACACTCATTCATTCATCCCTTCAGTAAACATGGATTCAATTCAGTTCAGTTGCTCTGCTGCTGCTGCTAAGTCCCTTCAGTCGTGTCCAACTCTTTGTGACCCTATGGACTGAAGCATACCAGGTTTCCCTGTCCATAACCAACTCCCAGAGCTTGCTCAAACTCATATCCATCGAGTCGGTGATGCCATCCAACCACCTCATCCTCTGTCATCCCCTTCTCCTCCTGCCTTCAATCTTTCCCACCATCAGGGTCTTTTCAAATGAGTCAGCTCTTCGCATCAGGTGGCCAAAATATTGGAGTTTCAGCTTCAGCATTAGTCCTTCCTATGAACACCCAGGACTGATTTCTTTTAGGATGGACTGGTTGGATTTCCTTTAGGATGGACTGGTTGGGTCTCCCTGCAGTCCAAAGGACTCTCAAGAGTCTTCTCCAACACCACAGTTTCAAAGCATCAATTCTGCTGCGCTCAGCCAGGGATGGGAGAGCCTGATAGGCTGCCGTCTATGGGGTCGCACAGAGTTGGACACGACTGAAGCGACTTAGCAGCAGCAGCAGCAGCTTTCTTTTTAGTCCAACTCTCACATCCATATATGACCACTGTAAAAACCATAACCTTGACTAGACGGGACTTTGTTGACAAAGTAATGTCTCTGCTTTTTAATATGCTGTCTAGGTTGGTCATAACTTTCCTTCCAAGGAGTAAGCGTCTTTTAATTTCATGGCTGCAATCACCATTTGCAGTGATTTTGGAGCCCCCCCAATTAACATCAGCCACTGTTTCCCCATCTATTTGCCATGAAGTGATGGGACCGGATGCCATGCCTTTAGAGGGTCCTAAACTGGGAAGACAACACAACTGGATCTGTGTTTTCAAAGGGTCACTGTAGAAAGTGTCACATAGCAATGGGTCTTCAGGCCAGCTCCCTAAGTCTTCTCTCTGGGGTGAGCTCAACTTGTCTTTTGAACCTTGGAGAGGGAAGCTGGGGGCAGCTGTGGAGAGGGAGGAGAGGAAGTGGACTGGACCTCCCCCCTTGCCACATCCTCCAAGCCTTGCTTTGGGGAGACCCAGCTCATGGCCAATGGAAGATTTATCTTTCCCTTGCCTCCCAGCTGCAAATGTAGGTCAAATCCAATGGCCAGCAGTGGGGCAGGGCTGACCCCAGTTCACCTGGGCTGGTTAGATGTGGACAGCTGTACTCCTTTGCTCTTTCTGCCCCTCCACCCTCTGCCCTGGGAAAAGAAGAGAACTGAACATTCTGAGAAAACCGTGGAATGGCCTTCACGACAGGAAGCTCTGAGTGACTGAGGGGCTGGGAGGGAGACAGGCTGGAGGAACGATGGCAGGCACTGAGCAGGCAGAGGTTCAGAAAGAGGAGAGGGACTGCCCAGGACTGGAAGCTGGGCTGGGGCGGGCAGGAGCTGAGAGGAGGGCTCAGAGCCTTGGAGGAAACACTGCAACCACTTTTCTACTTTTTTCTCCAATGTACGCCCATCTTCTTTCTAAGACAATTTGGGCAAAACATCACTTTTCACCCACCCCCATACCAGCACCATTAGCACACTATTGGGAAGGACCTTCCCTGGGGACAGAGTCTTTCAGTGGAGAATCATGCAAGTAGTTGGATGGAGAATTAGAACACTGCTCATCCAAGATCCCCTGCAGGAGGGCATGGCAACCCACTCTAGTATTCTTGCCTGGAGAATCCCACGGACAGAGGAGCTTGGCAGGCTGCAGCAGTCCTTAGGGTCACACAGAGTCAGGCACGACTGAAGCGACTTTGTCTGCCTGCCTGCCTGTCTCATCTGCAATAGCTCTGAGAATTTCGTGGGGTAAAGGTGTGTGGGGGCGAGAGATTTATTTTAAATGGTTTTGGTGACACCTCTTTTTGGCCAGACGGGTGGGTGAGGTGTGTAGGTTACCAGCTAGAAGTGGCCTCGAATAGCGGAAAAGTAAGAACAGCAGGAAGCGGACTTAGAAGGCCTCTTCCAGTTGCTTCTGACCAGGAAGCAGGCAGGCAATCTCACCTGACACCCAAGCGTGGGACTCATTCTGAATCACTCTGGGCACGGGTTTGGGAGGAAGACAAGAAGGCAGGGATCCGACCTCAGTGAGTAAATTTAAATGCTTTTATTAACAATCTTCTTACATTACAAGGATAATATGACAAAAGGAAAGTTTCTGCGTACATATTATGATAAACCAACATAGCTCTATTTGTATCCAGTGTTCTAGGTCCCGTCACACAGGTACTATAAAGCGTAGTCTGCAAAATAATAACATCGAGGGTTTTTTTTTTAAGAAAGAAAGTATTAACATATTAATATGTATGTGATAATAGACTCCTAGGTATTTCCCCCCACCCCCACTTTATTTTCCTCTGTGATTGAAATGAAACGGTTCAGCAGCGTGGGGGTGGAGAGGAGGAGAGAGACGGCGGGGCTGAAAAAGACGGAATCAGACTGCTGGCTCTTCCAGAGAGACAAAAGTGAAGAAACTGAGGATGCCCCGAGGGCAGCCTGGCCCTTGTCTTTTGGGAGCAGTGTAGTGACCGGCCGTCCTCCTCTGGACGGAGGGCCCGGCGCCCTTGACGCCCCGAGGACGCTCTCTCTCTGAGGTACAGTGCATTGTGGGATTGCTACCCGAGGATGCCCATCCCCTGGCCACGGGTCTGACCCCCCGCCGCGGGAGGAAGGCTCGGGCCCGGCCTGGTCTCTCTTGAGCCAGGCACTGGAGGGTGTTCGGAGACCCGGTTGGCAGCTAGCGGTGGCTCAAGGAGACCAGGGTGGACGTGGAGTAGAGAAGAGGTGGGCATTGGCAGAACAGACACCCCGCCCCGCCCCAGACTGCGGGCATGGGGCGGGGGGCGGGGGGCGCTCTGCTGGAGACTGAGGTACGTTGGTAAATGGTATGGAAGTGTAGGACGGAGGTCAGAGGAGGCTCGGAGACGGGAGCCGAGCCAAAAGGCAGAGGCTGGCCGAGAGGGCAGAGGGTGTGGCTGCCCTCTGTCTCCCATCCTCTGCGGCCCCGTCGGGCCCTCCCCGTCTACCTCCACGGTGGGGAAAAACAACCGCGAGAGAAACCTGGAAGTGAAACGGATTTCTGATCCCGTCAGGGCTGCATAGGCCCTTCGTCATTCAGCCGGGGGCACCGGTGACCCTCGGGCCCCCAGACGTCCCGGCCATCCAGGAGTGGGGCGGGGCGGGGCCAAGCCGAGGGAGGCGCCCTCCTCGGCGGAAGTGGATGAGCTTGGATGAGCGTGGGGCGTCTGGCTCAGCCTCTGCCTCGAGTCACAGAATCAGAACAGTGTACGTGAACTAGACCTGCCCGTTAACGGCAGCGCCGGTGGGCACAGGAGAGGGGTGGGGGGCGCTGTCCTGAGTGCAGCCAGCAGCAGCAGCTGTGCAAAGTGGACTGGGCCAAAGCCCCGCTTCTGAACTGGAGTTGCCACTGAATTTATGAGTGTGCGGATATGTCTCTCTCACCCTTTCCCATTAGCTGATACCCCCACCCCCTGCCCTGGCCGCAAAGCCTCTGGAGGGTGGGCAGCACTGACTGGCGATGCTGCCCTGGCAGGCGATGAAAGAGTGGGTGAGGGAGGCCAGGACGGCTGTACTTCAGAGGCTTGGCCTCCAGGGCGGGGGTGGGGGGCAGCAAAAAGCATCTAAAGTGGGGAGGTGGGGGCGCGGCATCTCTCCTGGACGCTCTCGGTCCAGTCTGCACCTTTCCCATTGCCGCCCATGCCGCTCCTTCCTGTGAGGGGGAGGGTACTGGGGGAAACTGTGCTGTGTCCCTCTCCCAGGGGGTCAGAGACCACATCCTACTGCCGGGCAGCAGGGGCCACCCAAGCGGAGGCTTCTTGGGGGGCAAAGGGGACACTTCTGGAGGGAGCCCAGGCGGTGAGGATCTCCTTTCGACCTCAGACTAAGCCTGCCTGTGGGAAAGGAGAGAAAAGTGGGCAGACAGGGCCAGGGCCTGGCTACTCTCCTCTCCAACACTCCGGCAGGGGGTCCTGTTCCCAGCGAACCCCGCCTGCTCAGCTGCCCCGGGCTCCCCTGCAAAGGCTCCACGTCCTCCCGCTTCTCACAACACAGCGACAGGCTTTCCCGCTGCTCTCCCAGCTCTCTATAGACTCTATTTTTTATATCTATTTAAAACATAGAAATGTATAAATATATAGGATATTATTTATAGATATATAGACGTGATTTCATCTCTTACTCTGTGTGTATACGTACTGCATATGTCCATATATACAATATATATGCTGTAGCATTTGTATTATACACTGCACATACCCCTGCTTCCATGCACTCTCCTAGGGAGACTGGATTGCATAGGTATTTCCAGGGCGATACCACTTGAAGGGATGGGGGGGGGCAGATGAAAGAGGAGGGCCGTACCATTTTTCCTCCTGAAAGGGCACTTTTTCTCCCTCTAGCTAACGCACAAAGATCACCTCAAAGGCTTCTTAAAGTATCACAGCTCCAGACGCTCAGCTAAAGCACCGTGTCCAGAGAGAGCAGAGAGAGGCCTTCCTCCAAGCAGGAGAAGGACCCCTGCGGATCTCTGGACATACTCTTCCCCCCTCCTCGAGACTGGAGGAGGAAACCAGCCTAGAAGCCATGACCCAGCACCACTTCCCCCCAGGAGGCTGGCGTCGGAAATGGGACTGTCCCAAACTCACTTGCCTTGTGAACATGCCTTTCTCATCTAAGGAGGCCTGGCCTCCCCGCTTTGGCTGTCCCAGGCTGGCCTGCTGCTTGCAAGGGCGAGGAGGGATGAGGGCCAGAGCCTTTTGTCCGAACTGGGTGTAGGGACCAAGAAAGAACACGAATTCTACTTGGAAATCAGACGGGAAGCCACAACGAGCTCTAGATACAGAATTCCTGTTCCTATAGGCGAGAAAACAAAGGGCAAGGAATCGAGAAGTTCTGTTTCAACCCCCAAGCCACTTTCTGGACCCCACGAGGCAACAGATAAACAGCCAAAAGAGCCCCCACTCCACAGCCCAGGCTGGGCCAAGTCTGGTCCACTTCAGCCTCTCCGCGATCATTTTCAGCACTCGACACGCTGTTGCCTATTTTCTCCCTCTTGGCAACACTTCAAAACAAATGGAAAATATTTAAACATCACCTTAAATAATTACAAGGTCCTTTCTCCAAGTCAAAGGGGCAACATAAGCAAGTCAAGGAGAAGAGGCTCAGCAAGACAACTCAATGTGGAAACACTTGGCGGGGACCAGGGTGGAGACCTCCAACTGTCCTAGATTCAGGGCTCAGCACCGAATGCAACTAACCACGGGTCCAGGAGATAGAGCCTCCACTCGTCTTTCGGTGAGGCTGAGGAAATGAGGCTCTGCCCAGCACTAGATGTGCCCAGCGGCCATCCAAGAAGAAAATAACAAGCAAACAAAAAGAGCTGGTGTTGTGGATGCCCAGACTGTCATACCCAACCAGACAGCTGAAACTGGGAAATTGGGAAGTGGCAAGAGTTGCAGACAGGGCTGGGCTACCTCACATTTCACAGACAGATACAAGATGGCAACGGGTCTTTTGGTTTTTTTCCTCCATTGAGAAAAAGCAGACCATTTTTAATCACAAGGGTTTCTGGCTCCCAAGCTCTGTGATGTATCTCCTTGGCACCATCGGCCACACACCTGATCTCATTTCCCACCTGCTCCATGAACCGAAGAAAATCACTAATTGGTCAACCCAATGAGGACAAGCTCGACTCCAGAGACACGAACAATTTTTTCTAAGTCAATGGTTGTCTCTCCTAAGCCAGGGGTTGAATTTAAGGGCTCTGCCTTGTCCATCAGCATGGAAGGATCACCTGGCCACAGCTTCTTATACTCATCGATGAGAGGTTAGACTGCCTAAGCATGTGGGCAGACCCCAAGAGTACCCACACCCCAGGAGTCCTTATTGGAGGCAGAGAGTGGAAACGCCTGGGGTGAAAACCATGGGTAATTGCACACAGCATTCACAGGATAGAAACACTGGAACTTCTGAGGGTAAAGACTCTGTATCAATTGTAGTGGTGTGTCACCCAAATTGCTCCCTGTTCCCAGGCAAAGTGGCCTTCAGACTGCCATGAGCACCTGGAGCTTTCGAGATGCCTTCCCAAACTTCGGGAATCTCCAGAGAGCCCATCCTCTCAGAGGTCTGGAGCCTGGCTGGGCAGGCGATGGCTCGAAGTCTAGTGTTGCTAGCAGCCATCCACGCTCCTGGCCCAGAGGCAGGTGGCCAGCTCCTGCTCCTCTGAAATAATAAGGTAGACACTGGCATTGGCCCAAAGGATTCTTTCCCCTCTGGATAAAAATTTGAGCTAATTTTGGCCATGGCCTCCTGAGAGGAAACAGTTGTGGCCCTGCCACAGTACTCAGGCAGTCATCAGCGAGTCTTTCCTCCTGGTTTTCAAATGAGTGGTGGTCTAGAGGATGACTCCCTGTCTCCAGATGTAGTGGGTGGGGAGGTGCAGAGGTGGGCAGGGGGAGGCGTAAGGCATCTGTTGGCTAGAAGAAAGGATCCCGACTACTGTTTCTGATCCCTATGGAGGCCCACCTTGCCAATCATCTCTGCCCCACCTCGACCCATCTTGGTCCGTGTGATGTCCAGAGGGAGCTCTCCCACAGACCTGGTGGATTGGGTGCGTGGTGGAGAGGAAGTCGAGGGGGGAAAGGTGGACCCTTGTGCTTTGCACTTGACCACAGATACTGACCCTGATCGGACGAGGGGGATGCCGGGAGAAGACATTAGCTTAAAGTGACATGCATGAGGTTGGGAATTTCAAAGCTGGATAAAGGGCTTTCCTTGCAAGTTCCTGCTAATTCTCTCCTTGTTCAGAGGAGGGTGGGAAAGTGTGTGAGGCTGGGGAGGGGGTGAGGGGTGAATGTCACCAGGCAGGGGTGCATTGATTTGTTGAAGAAGGCAGCATATGAGGCCTGGCAGTGGGACAGTCGGAGAAAACCAGTTGGTTTTGTTTTGTTTTGTTTTAACATGCTACATCACTGTTGAAAACAAAAAAGTTTCAAAAATAATATATAATATATATAATATATTTATATAATGAAAAGCTATTGACTAGCAGCAATGATTCTAAAGTTATCATAGCACCAAGACCATGGGGGTGGGGGAGGGGGTCTGTGGGGGGTGAAGGTCTGGCAGGACAAGGAAGAGGGGGTGACATGTTCAGTGTCGCTGACAGTTCCACTCCGGCTCTCATCGGTGGCATGAGGCCTCAGAGACAAGATAAACCAAGAAGGGAGGAAGCCACCACAGTTTTCTAATGTCTGAGCCGAGCAGGCTGGGGACACCGAGGCCTTGCCTGTGGCCAGATCATCCCATCCTTTGCCCACCCTCTGCCAAATGAGAGGGGCGGCTCATATAGACAGATGATAGACAATGCAGGTCCTCCTCCCTTCCCCCAAATAGAACCTTTATCCACAATGTAGGACCTCTGCAGATCAGATGTGCATACATCAGATGCGGAGACACGGACAGAAGTTTTTAACAGCTCACGCACATTTGTTTAAAAAAAACACTCCCTTGCGAGGTATACTGGTAATTAAATGAACAAAAGAGCATTGATCAAGACTCCTCTAGATGAAACCACTACTTGCCTCAGGGAGTAGGCAAGTGGCTATTTCTAAAGCTTATATCTCAGCTGTGTGTGTGTGTGTGTGTGTGTGTGTGTGTGTGTGTGTGTAGGCTGATGCCTTGAGAGTCCTGTCTGACTTCTTGTTTATGCCTTTCTTTGAGGACATCTCTACCCTGTTCAAAAAAGGAAGCGTTCGCAGGCACAGACGCATTCCCCACTTTTCCACTACCTTCCTGCCGGGCTGCAGGGCTTGTCATCAGCCTTATTGCAAAAGAAGGACCCAATCTCTAGAGACTCTCATCGGAGTTATGCATAACCCAGGGCACAACTTGCATTGACATCTCCTGCCACTGAACTCTAGCAGGCATTTCTCGATTATTAAAGGAAAAAATAATATACCCCCAAACACATTAT